CCATCCGTTGTGAAAACCTCGGATTATTATCGAAAATATTGCTGGTGCAAATTAATTTATTGTATGTACTTATACCTATAGCTTATCCTGATTCCCAGCGTTTTTTATTTAGGTTTTAAAATATCATTGATTCGAAATATTTGAATGACTTGAATCTTCAACAACTTTATGGATATTCATGAATAAAATTATGTAATATTGTTTAAGTGGTAGGTGGCAAGTAAAAAATGTACTAGATTTATTTCTTTAATGGACGCTGACAACACATATTAACGATCGTTACAGGAAATGCACTATTTTATGGGGCAGCCGTGGTTGCGTATATTAAAATTTGCTTTTTGTAACATTCTCCGCGGCATTTATTATCCCGTGGAAAGGCGTTGTTGAAATGTGCGCAAATCGCGTGTACTTAAAAAGGTAAACTCACTAAATGAGCATAGCCAGTCTCAAATAATGGCGTACATTAATATTCATATGATGGTGTACTTGGACAGATAACAGCTTTTATCACACCTATGCTGTTTCTGACTAGCTTTGTTACAGTAAACACGCTACAGAGGGTGGAAGTGTGCCAAAAAGCACACATACATCTATTTAATAACTTACATCAAATAGATATGTACCATATATTTTGTATGTAACCAAGCCGATTTAATATTATGCGTATTTCACCTACATGCGAGTATAAGCTTAATACTCGTATAATACTCATTAACCTTTATTATTTTTTCAAATAATATTTATTTTCTGCGGGCATAAACTCTAAATAATTATTTATCGACTATCCAGTAATCCTCGTAAAGTCCATAATGGAATTTTTTAAAACAATAATGGTTGATAGATCATTTCGTGAATGAACGAAAGTGGATAATTTAGAGTTATTGTGTAAATAATTTTAATCGAATATTTTTGACAAAGCCGTGTGATCATTTTTTAATGAAATTTCATAAAATCGCTCTGGATTTCCATATAGGCTACCTTGTATCTGTTATATACAGATAAATTCAATTATAAAACGAAACACCAATTTTACAGTTTACTAATTGAGAATAGTTAATCGTTATAATATGAGATCTAAATATGTATTCAAACTTCGTCTAATTGAACTTCGTTTGGCATTAATTGTTTTAGGTAACAATTTTATCTAAAAACCCTTTCAAATAGTCGGAGGTTACATTAATATTATAAGTAATATTAAATCAATGTCCCAATCAATCATCTGCTATAATTTATTATCACTATACCATTTATGTTATTTGTATTAATGGTATTAAACCTACAGGTAACTTTAATTATACATTGTGTTCGATAGAGAAGAGTAATGTTTGCCAGTGATACCCCTAAATTATCCAATCACAGTTTAAAATCCAGGTGTTTAAAATTCAAATATATTGTGTTTGCGTAAGTAACGTGTCAAAAGAAAATTTATGCATTTTCACGCATTTGATCCTGCTAAAGCCAGGGTTCCGATTTCACGCACAAATTGCTCACAGAGATGGTTTTAGTTCCGCTTACAATTGTTCGTAATTGTACAGGATAAGGATTAATCCACAATGGCAATACCATCAATTTTACGTAACCATTCTATTAAATTTACTACTTAAATAAACAGTTAATAATATTAAATACTCCAATTACACCAGAAGCTGAAAAACGTACGCAGATTACTTTGAAACTTGCGAAATTTGTTTGGAAAGTTTAGTTAATAAAATTATTTATTTCTTATGGGAACTTTTAAGTTGCGCCGCTGGATAAATTTTTATTTTCCGCTCGCTCTGCGGTTTTATCCTCGCTCTACAAAACAACAATCAATTAACTCTAAGTCCTTGTTTATTAATTTCATTAACCTTTGGACAAGCTCTGAACGTAATTATGCAACAAAGTGAAAATATCAGGTAACTGCATTTTGCATTATATATTTTAACTTCGAGAAGACATTTTTGCTGGAAATGAAACTCCTAATTACTGCGCGTCTTGACATTTAATAATTTAAGCAAGTCATATTCCAGGTAAGCTATTCTCCGTAGTCTTTACATAAATAGGAGGTTCATTGTTGCTATAATTATAAAATACCTATTTCTGTAGAAAAGAATAAAATACACGTTTATTATATATAATGTAAATTTCAAACTCCCTTAACGTTGACAGATAAATATAGATAACAATTTTTTATGAGCAATTTCTATTAACCCTACAATTTCATACTTCATGCATACATAATATCTCCATAAGAACCGCACATTTAGAATTTATATATTTACTCCTTATATTAGAATAAATATGTTGAAATTTGTTAAAATCCTTACTGTCAGTAGAACAAGGAATATATCCTTCACGGAAAAAAGTAATTTACTGTTGATGGAGTATCCGAATTAATGGACACAAAAGAAAGAACGTAAACAAAGCATTTTCATTTTATTACGAATTTCACTTCGTGGAATATACGAGGGAGATTCGCGTTTACAAAATTCGCTATTTTTTGAACGACATGTAAAATTTTAGTTAGTTTTTTTTGTTTTTTAATCATTATAAACTCTACATTTTTTGATTAAATTAATTAAGCATGCTAATGTCAGGCTTAGAAAGTAGTCTAGATGAATAACTTCCCTTGAGATAATACCTTACATTTCAGTAGAAAAATTTAAATAATTTAATAAAATGATTACTTATCGAAATTTGAGCTAATTGAAATTAAATTGTGAGATAACAATACTTTAGAGAATTAACGATACATATCTTATTTTTTATAGTAATTACTTTTTCATCAATGATGCTTAAGATTCTAAATATTTTTAAAGAATTCATCTGATAAATATATGTATTATATTTTAATAAGTATATTAAAAACATGCATGAATGCTACTTTTATGTTTAGTACAGAAAAAGTAAAAGTCCTCTTTATATAGAAGCATCGCGCCTTAAAAAGAAATAACATAAAAGACGCAGTATTTTTACCAAAGTAAAATACCGCACGCAATATACCAACTTTTTTAACACTTTTTTTTATTCGATACTCTTCTATTTCACCCAAGTTTATGGAGCTTTTTAGATCTTTATTAGCTACAGCGCGTTGTTTCCTTGTTTTGAGACAAAATATTTTAAGACCTCTGATATGGGAACTATAAATTTTACATAAAAAATAAGATCTCTTGCGGAATTTACCGCCGGAATCGAATATAAACGCGAAATACTTATTTGACGGAAATAACGCTATAATCAATTTATTGTTTGGAAAGAATTTTTAATTCAAAACTAAATCAAACTCATCTGTTAGTTTTTATAGACTAAAATTTCTTTATTTTCTTTGTGTAAGTGTATCGATGTATTTTTCCCGGTTCGTTGGCCTCTACATAAAGCCGTGGGTTTGAGAATGGGCAAAATATAACTCCTAACTGTGAGATTACACGTTCTCCGGTCGGTTCAATCGAAGAAGAATATTAAAAATGCATTCATCATCTAACGCCAAAATATTGAAAAGCAGTAATTGAGTTATTGATTACATGGGGAAATACCAGCATTGTATCGGCGGAAAACAAATCGGTCCCGTGTAGAGATAATACTTCTGCGTCTATCTACAGGGTTTTTTTTAACGTATGAACGAAATATTTCTCCTTTTTTTTGGGAGGTTCTAATGTTATAGTATAAAACACTCTTGTTAAGTACTAAGATACATTAATTCACGAAAATTTCCTTAAGTAACAACGTTGCATAACAAATATGACTTTCATTTTCGTCCGTAAGTAAATCCTTATCACAGCACCCTCTCGCTTCTCATTTCATAAACCTCTTTAGGATAATATTCTCCCTAGTCTGTTATAACCCCAACATAAACAAAATAATTTCTTATTAACCTTAAGTCCGAACCGTAATGCCTGTGGTATTAGATTTTCTCTTGTTCCCTTTTTAGGAATTCCTTTATATTTGCCTTCACTTTGGGAGTCCTGCTAGAAAACTCCGTGGAAGCGATCTCAATATATAATATTATTATCGCACTATTCACAATGTATTAGGAAAAATTACGCATTTGTGACTGATTTAATGAACTTAACTTTAGGAAACAGAGAAAATTACTTAAAACTTCTACGCCACATTGTTACATTTAGTTAATCAAATTTAAAAGTTTTATTTTAGTTAGATGCACTTCTGCAACAACGTTATCAAGTTTTTATGAATATTACTTATACTATAATTTAGAACGTTTTAACTCGGGAATAATTTTAGTAAATTTAACAACAAAAATTCGGCTTTTTGGTAAAGTTTAAAATTCCGGATTACCGTAGAGTTTATTCTGAAATATACATATAAGCACATTTCTATATCACACTGCCCTGTAACCAAACACAGAGTTGAACGGTTAGCAATTTTATTTGAAATTAATTTATTTAATAGTTTAGAAATGTACGGACCATTAAAATGTGTCCTTCCTTTCTTCTTTATGCCTGAAAAATGGTAAATACAGCCATTTGGCAGACCCCTTGTACTTGAAATGGATTATGTAGGTGATATATGTTATTCTTCCAGGGAAGGCTTTAAGATAAAGAATTCTAAACATGTACCAGGTGCATTATGTCGATAAACAGAGCAATTTGAATTTGAATAAGTCAATCCTCACGACCGAAAATCCGGTTTCCATACTGTATAGTGTATGGCGGGAAACTTATAAAACCTGAATAAAATACTAAGGAAAAATTACTGCAGATTCACTCAACTGCAACCAATAAAATAAAAATTTATCCTTTAAACAGTTGTTTGTATGCATTTCATAACTAAGTTTATAGTCCAATCTTACGTGACCTCTGTAATTTTCGAAAAGAAAACGGTGTTTTCTCGGCAAAATTTGTTCTGTATAAAAAATCAGATGTGTGTTGCACATTACAACTTTCGTAACACATACTTGTCTATAACTCTTATGCTGGACGGATCCTTTTAATTCATAATATCGTTTAACAATGAAAATATATACCCACTTATTTTTTTACTAATTAATTAATTTGTTACAGAACACCATCATATCTTCGTAGGAGATCTTAGTCCGGAAATAGAAACACAGACCCTCCGAGATGCTTTTGCGGCATTTGGAGAAATATCGTAAGTAATTGTAATTATTAAGGTTTTATTTTACTTACTTACGTTTGCTTCAATACAGTAGAGTGTATTTACTAGTAAAAATATTGTGGGGCATTCTTCATATGTAGGGGTTCCTAAAGGTGTTATAAATATTTGAACAGAAAATTGAAAATCTGAAAATCTCAGGAAAGCTAACAAAGGCTTTCAATTATAAGTATATAAAGTTTACTTACTTTCCTACGTTGTTCCTATTTTTTCCCCTGGCAACACATCTCATTTACTAGTGTTTCCAACAAAGAAATTGTATGAAATATAGCCCAAACCCTTTTGTTAAAATGAACAATGTTGTAAACGAAGACTTTAAATAACTTCATTGTATTGTTGAATATATTACATCGGCTGAAAATGTTTCTTGATCAATGTAACAGTCACCAGAAGCTTTCAACTTTTTAATTCTTGAATTAATGATGACGTTGATACAGCGAATGTTTATTTAGTTTACTATTAATAACTCAATAATTCAGAACTGTAATTATTCGATGAAGGGCATTGAAAAGGTGGTTATTTATTTAGTCACCTGTTATCTGTTTCTTATTTTGATGGAAATTACGTTTAAAAGCCGTGCGCAAAATCTCGGAGAAAAATATGCACACTTTCGTTGGAATTTTCTCCTTAATGACTCGGGGTATTTTTGTTGAAAAGTTTTAAATTCATTTAAACTCCATGCTCACACTTACTAATTACTTTACATTTGAGTTGAACAAAAGTTGCGTGGAAAGACTTGGAATTAGGAAAAGTATAAATGTACCAAATTGTTTTAAAATAAGTTGTTTCCGCAGTTGTCAAAGGGACCTGTAGAATTAAAGTCATTATTGTTTGGTGTCATGCTTTGTACATTTTATCTTTGTTGTCGCTTTTTAGTTCTTAAGAAAATACTATAAAATTTCTTTACAAGTATTCAAATGAATTCATCAAAATTTGCTTAATAAATAAACATTTCTAAAATTCTCAAATCGGAAGAGATAATTATTTTTGTGAATTAAAATAGCAACAAATGTTTGTGAAATGATATACTCGCATTCACAAAGCACGTTGTCCCTATTCTCGTTCTCTGTTCACATTAAAAAATAATGAAACTTTATTCAGCGGTAGATTCTCTGTAAATCATCAAGAACAAATGACTGAATGCAGCTCTACTTACAAATGCACATCACACTGCAACCCAGGCGACCGTCGCCGTTGAAATTCAAAAAGTAGCGGGAGAACCAAGACACTTTCCATTACTCCAAAAATAAATTTTAATTATGGCGGATGAAAAGGTATGTGTGTAACAGACACGGACTGCAGAGATATCCACTCAGCTATTCTTTGCAATTTAAAATTTCACTGCGAGATTCAACATTATAGGATTCGTTTGAGGAGCAGTATTGTATCCATATTATTGAATACAAATAAGAAGTTTGCTGCGAATGCTCGCTGAATATGAATTCGGGCTCAAACTCTTTGAACTCGACTCACAAGGAATAGAAAATAAGTCGAAATGATGAGATTTTATGTCTAAATCGCCTATTTTTGCGCCAAAAGGCAAGAAAATTTAATTACCCAAACCAGAACATTTGATCTCGTGCGCTATTTAGATATGGTATAAAATTCAATTTTTAAGAATAAACATGGCTATGTTTATAAAATAGACGAAATTATTTCAAGAAACATTTGTTTGATATCAAAAGATGCAGCGTATTGAGAAACCCACTCGTCGTTGCCGTAAAGGCTTTGTTAGTTACCCACGTGAATTCAATTTAGTTCGAAGAAAATCTTTACATGTATAGGTATTCGAATTACCATACGTATATACAGAGTCATAGCAAAGGATGTTTTTAAAAGCTGCATTCCTTTTTGTGTTGATGCAAAAATAACAACTCTCAATATTTTAATTCATTAATACGCATAATAAATACATACCTACGCATTGTACAAACTATAAAAAATAAAAAGTATTTTGTATTTGACACGTAATAACAAATTAAAAAAAAATCAGTCCTTTTCTCACTGGCGCAATCGAAATGTTTTAAATGTGAGAGGCGATAAGTGAGCTGTTAGCGGTAGGTCAATTTCGATTAAGTTCGTGAAGTTGCCTTTTACTTGAACTTTTCAACAAGTAGCTAAACGGGACCAGCTAGTTTCTGCTTTCATCGATTGCCATATTCCCGTTCACTTTTCAGGCGACAGAAGCAACTTCAACGATCGCCGGGATCTTTAATCATAAATTCTTGACATTGCTGACAGGGTCGGACCGAACACCGCAATCCGCAATCCGCAATCTCATCCACCGTATTTACTTGCTGGGTTATGCAACCCGTTTTGCCTTCGCTCAACCTCTTATCACGCCGAAAGTTTTCCGATGTCATCTGTCTTCTATCTACCTTATTACATCATGTGTTATAATAATTTCTAATTTCAAAAAATTCCTTGATTAATTTGTAGTTTGAACAGAACCTATTCCTTAATTATATTTACACTTAATTAATAAAACTGTTCAAACATTGTGCAAAACTGCCCTAACTGTACTTCAAATACGCTTTTCGTATGCACCCTGACTATAATTCATTAACTAGATTTCCAGTGGTGGTGAGTAAAGTGTTTATTTTCAAAATGGAAGTGTTATGTTAGAGAAACCAAGGTTTCACTTAGCTTAAAAATGTAAATATTTTAGAACTAATTAATTAAATTGTCGTTTCAAATAACAATAGCACTCTAGTTGAGCTAGATACATTTAAATAAACTAATTTAGCATGCTTCCAGCTAAATAAACAATTTAATTTAATTTACCAAAGTACAGATAATTAGTAGGCTGGTTATATTGATCAAAATAAAATACTCCATTAGATACTAAAATATACCTAATCTAATGTATTTAAAGTACCATTACTATAAATATTAATAATTTCCAGTAATGATTTTAATAGCTGAAACAACAAAAATCGCCGGAATCTTCTATTTAATGGAAGTCTATTATTTAGGGCTTTCAAAAGTCGTCATAAAAAATTTATTATCTCAAATAAATAATGCTGACTGCTTTTCATGAACAACTTTTATCGTATTTTATTCTCTCTTTGCTAGATCACAATCATTTCCTTTTTATCACTGACTTAGTTGTTTTGAAGGTAAATCAACCGCTCTTTTACTTCATTAAAAATCATTAAAACTCTCTCACCCTCTCTTTGCTCAGTTAATTCTGTAGATATTAAAACGTATTTATTTGTATGAATTAAAATAATCCATCAATTGATTCGACATATGTAACTAAATTGAAATCATGAAATGAAATCATCGTACAGTTATATGATAATCATAAGCTCGTAAAAATTTAAAACGAATATTAAACCCGACTACAATTATTTTACGATATCGAATGCTATTCAACACGCACATTTCTAATATTAGATATAATGGCTATACACGTATCTATTTGTGAAATTGATGGCAGCAACAAATTACTAACAACAATATAAATAACATCACAATCAACAGATTTATAATTTAGGTAATTTAAATTAGATTGGATTTTTAAATTTTTTAATATTACTGGGAATTTACGATTTGTCGTGCAGAGCTTGTAGGGTAAAAAATGTACAAGGATATTTGAGGTGGCATCCATTGTTTAACCAAGTAGAGCACAAAATTCGATTTAGCACCCTTCATAACACATTAACTGACCCTCTACATGCCGGCAAATTACCTTTTAACAAAGTTAAATTAATATTCGTAAATATTTTATAGCTGTGGAAATCGGCACCTGAGCTAGGGCTCAAATTAAGCTTCAAATCCTGCGGAAGGAGACACGATCTGAAATTTATATCTGTTGTTGTTACAGCAGGATATAAGATTTTACAATAATTTCGCTGGCATTAATTTATGTCTATTATTTTACGAATGCAAAATTTATTGCAAATTAAAAAATAAACCCAAATACACTTCTCCTTTTATTACATTTTCGAACAAATTATTTCTAAATTGATTTTTTAATTTTAATTAAATATATAAAATTTTACTACTGCCGCTGCCAAGAGTTGAGAATTACATAATTCTTTTGTTAAGTACCCATCCTTTTGCTCATTGAAACCACTCGTATTTTGGACTCAGGGTGTTGCTGGGAAACCGGCTTTCTTTTCCTAACAAAAGGAATCTTCGATTTCTCTGAAATATATTGTGGTGTTAAATTCAGATAAGATTTACTCGAGTATCTAATGCCGTTCTTATATTAAAGATTTAACTGATTTCGCTAGCAAGCAGCAATATTTTAATGTCACTGAACAACAGTTTTATATTTTAAAAAGAGAATTAAAAATTTATGGGATATGAATTTACGATACTCTTGAGGAATTGAAATCAATGTATAGTCTAGCTAGGGGAAAGTAAAACATATCAATACATTTTTAGTGAAAATGTATCATTAATAAGTTTTGCAATCATTACCTAATTTTATTACAACTGTAGTTCTGCTTTTATATTTACAATCACTAAAATAAAATTATTCGAGTCCATTATTATTTTTTTACCGCAAAAGCATATTTGTTCCGTTTTTTACATTTGTTTGATGTTAACTTGAATTACTCGTACAGTCGAGTGTACTACAATACGTGTACATACATACATACATATGTGGAAACTGGAAAACTTTTATATATCTACAATTTTCTTTACGCACAAATAAAATATTTCGCAACGTAACGGAATAAAAAGCTTTAACGAAATTTAATTTTTTTTTACCTTTTTAAAGGGCAACATTTTTTGTTGAGTAAAGTAAAGTATGCCTTTTATATTAACTGTAATATAAAACAATTCAAAGCACTTTTCGGATGTCGAATAAATGGAGTTGGTAGATGCCTCAACCCTCCTACATAGGGTAAATCTACATGGGATCATTTGTACCAGGTTTTTTGGTATACCTACTAACAAGCGAAATGCTACATTTCGTATTGGATTCTGTGCTTGTTTGTCTGTATGTTTGAAATTGAAATCCAAAGGTTCTTCTAAAAGAATACTTTTTGTTTGTTTAGTTACTTAGAGACTGATTAAAAAAATCAAACGCAGGTAAAATAAGTTTTAGGTAAAAATAAAATTGCTTATAGCGATTCTGTAAAACGTTTGATGTATTATCTGATAAATAAGCTACATATTCTTTTCGAAATTATGTAATAAGATACGCCCCTCACGTAAGCAGTCGCTTTTTATCTGAATTTTTATTATGAATGCCAATGTTGAACAAATTGCCTCTTTAACGGATTTCTCTCTACTTTTATTACCTTTTTATTTTTTTATTACAACAAAAAGTGAATATTGTAACCTGTGGCAGCAACTGACAGATATTTCACAAAATGTCTTTCGTATTTAATGGCAGCAATATCGAATTATATATTAATTACCAGGTCTCTTAGCTGCTGGTCCAATTATAATCATTACTCGAAACGATCGGTACAACCATATTGTATTAACATCAAGTATTGTACATACACTACACCTGCAGCAGATAATTGTTTGTTTAATTAGAAAATATTTATTCAAAAGCATTGAATTGGGTGGTAATAAGAGTATTATATTTGGGATTTGTGTAAGACCATTTTAATCAATCGAAGCTATATAAAAATATATCTCGTCTATTTTTAAGCGATGTCGTATCTCCGAAAACCGAAATTTTCTATGATCAATAATAGAGTGCAGTCTTAATAAATTTATTACTGCTGGTAAACACGCACGCCAAATCGTTTACGGACTACATCGGCTTCTTTTCCATTGCCAAGAAAACAAAGCAATGCATCGTTTTCGGCCGAAAATATTTCAAGGCGATTTTTCAAATGCTAGTACCGAACATAGACCTCACTTCATGGCAGAGATTTTAAACTTTACATTCAAACTCATTGAATCAAAGTTACGATTATAATAGAACAATACGAAAAAGTGGCAAATGTTTCACAAGTATATCTTTTTTAATTAAGGTATTATAACTTGCCCATTGAAATTGCTCAGTAAACGTATAATATTATATAGCGATTTTAAATCAAATCATTTATTCCTATGAAAAATTTCTTTTCCTATTCATACTAACGATCGAAGTCTGTAGGTAATTGAATAAAATTGCTCCTGCAGTAAGCTTAAATTCGATTGGCATAAATTTAATGTAGGTATCTTTATAAATCTCGCACTATAGTATACAAATCCCCTGTGCTTTTTGATGACATGAAAGTTGTGAGTTAAATCGTAACGCTCGGGAGTCTAGAGAGACGGGGATTAATATTTTAGGTTTAGAGGTTGCACTAAAATTAATGATCAATTCATCTTAGTCAGTTTTAACCGAAATCGTAATGATGCGACAGCTTATCTAATAGAACTATCAATGTTTTAAACAATTATATAGATTCACTAGATCTCAGAGTAAGGTCTCTTAATTATTGCAAAAGTGATGAGCAATCTTAGCTGCTTGTAATTCATTATAAATAACACGGAGGTGGATAGGAACTAGACGTTCTTGTTTGTTTAATGTAGTCCTTTAATTAAATTAGTAAATAATGTTCTTGCTAACTTCCCTACTTAGATGTTATGTATATATGACTATTAACATACTATTAAGTAGGATTTTTAATAAAAAATAATAAAAAAATACCTGTATTTTAACAGAACTTTAGTGAAATTGTAATATTTGCATTTCTTATAGAACTGTGTAGTCGCTTTTATTTCAAATATTATTCAAAATATTTACAAACTATGGACGTAAAGCATACTATCTCAGTAAACATGGGGATACTAACAGAGATAAAAATACTATTAGAACGAATGAGTATACCGAAGTTTGCTAAAGTGTGTTCATTAAAAAACTTTCCAAGTTATGTTTTCTGGATTCCCTAATGGCCGAAAACTTCTTTTGCGCAATTATAACGCTATACCCATTGCAGCCAACAGCTGCATTAGAGATATTTGCGCTTTATTTATACATCCGAAAATCTCCATTTATTTTTGATCACATATAGATAAAAGTTTTTTCAACTTTAGTTAGAGTTCGATTCATTTTAGGAGCTAAAAAAAAGGTTATGTTTTATTGATAACGCCGAATCACATAAATTTCTTAAAATGATTGGGTTGCCGGAACGGTTTCTTCCCAAACTGAATCAAACATAAAATTTCGCGTCCCAGAAGTCGTTCTTGCGTTATACAATAAAAAGTTTTTAAGTGTAGTTTGAATGAGAGTAAACCGAAGTATCCAAAATAATACCAAACGTGTGAGAAGAATATCAATGGATTCGTTTCATGCGAATTCAATATTGAAACATGCATGGAGAAACTATCGACGCCACGAATAGGAGATAGCCCTTTTTTACCTTTTTAAACGCAAATGTAGAGAAAATACGCTTTAAATATTTATACTTTAAGACAATTTTAGTTTAACTACTAATAAATAGTAATAATGACCCCACGCACGGTATTACATATGCATAATATAGTTGTGAAACAGTTGTTTTTAATGTAAACGATGTATGTATATGCATATTACGATTAATTATTTATTTATTCCGTGTAATTTTTTTTATAAAGTTTCATTGAATATGGCTGTAAAATTAATAAACGTTATTAATGAATGTTGACCGACTATTTTGAACATAAATACGCTCATTATTTTTAATGCAAACAGTTACTCAATTAACAAAACAGTTATATTATTTAACAATGCATTTCAATCGACTGTAACTTATATTAGGTACTAATTTTGTGTTATTACCAATTTACATATTGGTTTAATCATAGATATGAATCCAGATAGTCATTTTGACAAGGGTCGAATTGGAAAATGTTTTTGCAAAAGTGAACTAAAAACAGGTAAGACTTCAATTAGATTAAATCAAAATTAATTATAAAAAACAATAACGTTTTTTTTACTTTTAGTGTACGGATTGTATGATTTAAATGTTAATTTAGAGCGTTCAAGTTTCAAATGCACTTGCAAGCTCTTACTTTCAGAGCTTGCCAGAAAAATGTCTAATTTTCCGCAAACTTCTGTCACCGAAAACTTTCAGTTATTTACTCCTTTGTGTCGTCTTCATCTTTCAAACAGCCTTTCTTAAATTATGGTTTAGCATTGGTTTTTTTTTCTCTCTTGAGATTCATAATGCTAATAATAAATTACACTCGAAATGCTTTATAATGATTTTTGTAGAAAATTTCTTCTATTGCTGGTCAGTGAACTTGAGGTCGAAAATTTATTTTTATCTCCTATATGGCGAGTTGTTCTGCTAAATAATTCTATTAAAGTAGCACATTAATTCCTGTAGTAATGGAAGAAGGTCCTAATTGAGATGGGGTTAATGATACGACAGAACGCACGCTGTAACATTTATTAGATGAAATGTACAATTTTGAGCGCTACAAAGTGGGAATGTATGCGGTCTTCAGAAATTAATGCAATCCGTTTCGCCCCTCTTGCATAGCCATTTCGACCCTCGGGGATGAAACTTTTTCGCTGGGTAAATTGCAGAATGCAGAAAAACATACCTAGTTTAATTAAAATTCTTTAAAAAAGTTTCGCTATATTTTTTTCGTCTATAAATTTTTATCAAGTCTGGATTAGCAATTGTTCTATCAGGAATATTCAATTCTATTGCAGAAATCCTTCAATTTTTAACGATTTTTTGAGATTCTTGTAGGTTGCTATTAAAAATTAGGTACAAGTATTTCAAAGTCGTAACGAATTTATTATTATATGTAGGGTGGAAATGGCGAATAAATTTTCACTACTCCTACAGCATAAAATCTCTACTTATATTAGAGTAAATTAAAAGGAAAGCCATTTAAAGGAATTTTATTAAACTTTTATAACTGTATTGACCGGATTAGCGCGGAAAATATCTGTTTATTATGTTTTAACCCCGTTTTTAATTCAGCATTGCGGCAAGTTGAATTTAAAATTTCAGAAGTAATTTTTGGTTAAATGTGCTCGGGCCATGCTGGTAATTGCTTTAAAAATGAATATGACTGTTCGTACGGTCATTTTGCTCCTAATAGAAATTTTGAAACGTATCGATTCGTTTATTAACGGAATGGTTTTAACTAGTAATGACATGTTGCACTTATTGCGCTCAAAAACACAATTGACGCTGATGATTTTTTAATAACCTTTATTTGGCGAACAAACAGGAGATAAACTCATCATTTTAAGAGCGTGATTTTAAATGTTGTCTTACAAAAAATTATTTTTATTTCAGGGACTGTCGAGTGGTTAGAGACCCGCAAACGTTGAAGTCCAAAGGGTATGGATTCGTTTCCTTCATCAAAAAAGCGGTAAGTGATCGTTATCGAAATGTTTATGTAAAAAGTGGATTATTCCTAGCAAAACATATCAGATCAAGTTAAATTAACTAGGCTAGATCCGTGACTTGAAACATGAAAACCTATCCAGTGTCGTTCCGAAAAAGTTCCATTCAAATTATATTCAGTGAAACAAATTTTCCCCAAAATGCTATTAAGTGTTCCTACTAATGGTACCCGTAAAATTAAAAATATTTGTAATTATTCCTATACTCAAAGTTTTAAAAAAAATTAAATTTAGAAACATTTAATTACCTACTCTGTATTGTTGCCCTAAATTCGTATGGAATATTATTTACAAGCGTACGAAGAGAACATTTCGTGCGTTATCGCTGTAAATGTATAGGGTGGGGTAATTTGAATTTACTAGAAAAATATGTATTTTAAAAATAAGGACCACACCTTTCCCGTATGCATGGTACAACTGGGAAATCATCAGTGATGCCATATTTTTTTGCAAATTTGTGCCACGTCGGAGACAGGAAGACCTTAATGGACTCTTATAAATCTTTTGCGATGAATTTTCATGATTTATGTTTCACTGCTTGCATAGCCAACTTTAAGGAATCGCGTTAGGATAAGTAACTACATAAATTCTTGACAGCACCTCTTACGGTGCACATCCTCAAAAGAGAAGTTAATCCAAAAGGATTGTATTATTCAATATATCTACGTATAACTACAACTAAAAAAACACCTTATAAGGAATAGCGTAAAAGCTAGCTAAAATGTGATAAGTTTTAAAAAGATGAAAAAATTCGCTTCCAAAAGTCTCATAAATTTTTAATCAACACGCGTGCACTGTGAAACAAAACAGGAATTTAGAATAGAACAAGGATTTGTTGAAATAATAATATTTTAGTCCTTCGAGATTAAATAAGATGCAAAAACTCTTGATTCTGGTTTACTGCATTTCACTTGATATTAAGTTTTTTTATCAACCACTAAAAATTGAAACTAATAAAAATTTTATTCTGGAAATAAAAATAAATTATGTGTTGGATTACGGCTCCAGAGCTTCATTAATCTCCATAACATTGTAAGTTTGTCATGATTGCCAATTTTATAATCAGTTGTAAAATTAAATGTGTTCAGAAGTTTAGAATTTTAAGTAGTTAGGTAGTTTCTTACTTAATCAGCTCAACTCATAATTATATTATTACGGTTTGTCAAAGTTTATTGCTGCGTTCTAGTTTTAAATTATCCTTTTTTGTCGAGTTGTTTGGCAGGAGTTTTAAAACACAATGCAGAAATTCTACAAACTTCCTTACATTAATAATTAATTATGATACATCGGTCATGAATATTTAAAAATATTGAACCTAAGCGCAATATTAATTACGTTTAAAAAACGTTAAAAAAAAATTATTTTAATTACTGTAATGGTACGACGAACAAAAACTGAATTCTTGTTAAGATATATTTAAGAGTTTTATGCCTTTGTGTTGTGTAACACTGTAAATGGACGTTATATCGTCGTTTTTACAAACATTCTTTTCATTTGATGTCGAAAACATTTCCAATATCACATTTCGCTTGAAAATGATAAACTCATGCTTTTAGCAATAGTGGTTAAGAGGATTGCATCTAGTCAAATGATACTTCAAAAGTGTTTCGAGTGAAACACAAGCGTTCTCAATAACTTTTGAATCTTTACACCCTTTATCTTTTGTTCGCCAAAAATATAGCATATTTTTACATTTAAAGCGGCTTATTCCATCGGAAGAATCCCAACAAATCACACTTAATCTGTTTTTAGTGTGATTCATGTAAGGTAGTAAATGATTTTACATTTAATTTTTGATCCGTATAAATTTTTGTTAACATACTCTCAGCAATGAAACATTCATTTCATTAAATTTTCAACAATCCAGTAATTTAATCGATTTAGTTATGGAACAAAAGTTCTTACTACAACGTGCAAATTACAAGTATTTGCGCAACAATAATGTTATCAAACTACCCGACGAAGTGCAATTGGGTATGATTTTTTACGATTAAAAAGCACTTTGAACAAAAAAGAGAAAGTTATATTAGTATTTTTTTTAAATGTTGTGTTCAATTTTCAGTATTCCCTAATCCCTATGAGGTAACTAATTATTTGAGGCAAAAAGCGGAAACCGCAAGCAAAATTCAAACTAATAAAAATTTTCAATTTCAACATAAAGAGGCCACCGAAGCTATTAACTTCGTGTAGTCACTCCGTGGGTAATAAAATTTCGAATTCCCGGGAAATTTTAAATTCATTTTTTGAACGAAGACACGCTCTCCTGAAAGCAAAGTTGTGTTTTTGTAACAAGATTGCGGCATTTGTTCATTAGAATGGCGTTCTCTTGAAATTATTTAATCAGCAATCGAGAGTTATCATGAAAAAGTTCACCTAACGAGAATCCGGAATTAGGGTATTATCAAATTATTGCCATTAACCTACATTTCACCCTTAAACCATTTTGATTTTTAAAATGTTCGATAACTTACAACGATTCAACTTACAAATAATAATGTTGTATTGCAGAGTGATAATATTAGAGAGAAGATGTAAAGCTCCCCAATGTAATTTTCTAAATGTAAACTGTTAAATTTCAAGTTCAAAGCAAAACCATATTAATAAAGAGAACGCTTTATGTTCGCATTGTATTGAATTAAATTTCCATGGGAAACAAAGTAACAATCCTTTTAACCTCTTATGAATGTAAACTGGAATTAAGATAAAACAGAAATCGAAAAAAAAAAAGAAATTTGCTAAAAAGATTATAACCACACTGAAAACAGACCAGTAAAACATTGTTTAATTTGAATAACTTAAGTAATACAGAAATTCGCCATTTTATTGAGCAATACGAAAACATAGTTAGGAATTTTATCGAAGCGATTTTTAAACGAAACTGATGTCAAATTAATGAGAAAAGGAAATTTAAATTCCAATTTGTTTCCATACGTTGCGTTATACTGGTTTTGGAATGTTTATGGTTTTTATTAAATGAAACTAAACAGAAAAAAAAATAAATTTCCTCATTTCCCCGGATAAAACCGACGCGCTCACGCAAGAAAAGGAAAAAAAGGAATATAGTATGCTAAGAAATGATTGTTGTAATCCCTAAAACCCTAAGGGCGTGCCATTTCGGGCATTCGTACGCCCCTGAGTGCCCTGGTACAGGTGTATATCCAGTAGTTCCTTTCTTTTCTGCTTGTACGGTAATGAAAACATATGTCTACCGAATTCCGAGTGAAGTAGAATGTAAAAAGGTCCGTAACCCTCAGAACGTTTATTACAGGACAAGGAAATTTTTGCTATCGTTTTTATGCCGCGTCCGCAACTGTGACGCAATGCGTTTCCCTTATTAGATCATCTACATACGCTATGAATTTTTTAAAAAGGTACATATACTAAAGAATCTTTAATATACTCTGGTATAGTAATATAAATTAAAACTCGTATAATATTGATTGAAACTAAATAGAACCATTGTCAAAGTGATACCTCACTTTGAACAGTTAGTTAGTGTTTAGTACAGTGATAGCTAGTTCACTTGTCATGCATTAAATTTGCGTATAATTTCTCCTTTAATCCCGTATATGAACTAGTTTGCGCGGCCGTTTGTCCCTTTGTATTTCATAAATTAATCTACTGATAATCGAGCGATATTAATTTAGTTGTAATATCAATTACCTTGTTTATTTATTTTTGTAAAACACGGGAGATTCGCTAAATCCCATTAAGTGTTTCCAATCTTCGAATAGGTCTTGTCAAATGGAAAAAAAAGCGGGCGGATTGAGTTCGATTCAATGGTAACGTACTTCTGATACGAATTCAATTACGAATTTTTAATTGGCAACATTCAGTCACAACTGAATAAGTTTAATTCAGATTCGGGCTTAATTAGGATTTCAATTTGGTTTATTTCGGAATCAACCAAAGTATCGATTAATATTTAATGTCTTAATCGGAGGCGAATTGAAGCGAGTATTCGATTCGTCTAATTTAAATAAAACTTTACATTAAATTCTAATTCTACTACTCGCAAAAATGTCGAAGTTTATTCGAGCTTATTAAGTAGGTATAAGAAAATTATTAAATCGTTAATATTTGTTGTGTTGGCAAACTACCTGAGATGATTGAGTTACAAAGAAAACTTTTATATTGCTGGAATTGCGTAATTTCAAAATAACTTGGTGAAATAATGAAGTGGGTGTTAATTTCATGATAAATAACAAAATCGATTGAAGCAATTTGCGAAAGCATAGGCCAATTAGTGTCGTATAACCGCTTTGGAACATATGTATGTAGCTCATACGTTAAAACATAACTGTCGCTGGAGCAGAAATGTAAAACATACCTAATTAGAATATTATATAAATGTTTTGTGCTATATTTGCGCATTTATTAATTATTTTAGTGTTTTTTCTGAATTAGCTATCTCAACTACTGTTTTATTAAAGTTTGTGAAGGTTTTTATATGTCAGCGACAGCGCAGGTATATGAGATGTTAAAATATGCAATATTAAAATTTAATATGCAAATGGTTTTGTTGATACTCGCAAGCTCGAGTAAATATTTGGCGAGTTTGATTTTGTTTCTGCACTATCGTTAACCGAAACTTAGTCAAAAATACCGAATTCTTTTCCCAGATAAATCTCTAACTCGAAAAGAATTTTTGCGAAAAACCGGAGCCACTTTAGTTTTACAAACTTTCATAATTCCACACTAGAAAGTTTTAATTGCGGAAGTTTATCTTTGCATACTTGTTTCTCTAAATTAAAAACAGGTTTGTTTCTTAAAAAAATGCACAGCAAAAAAATACCTATGTCAAGGATTAAATTTTCTATTTTCCTATTTGGTACATATAAAGTTTCGCTCTATTCATTTTACTTTCGAAAACGTCGAGAAAATAGAATTTCTGTTTTCCTTTATAGGAGAAAAATTACCCTATCTGTATTGATATATTGATTTTCAGATCTGAATTATGAAACCA